GCCAACACGGCATATTCTGGAGGAGCGTGTCCTGAACCCCTCCAGCCTCACCGATCAGTTAAATGTCTTAGGAACAAACCTGGGATTTCCGGGGGAAGAAGGAATTCTGCCTCAAGACTGTGGCATAGGGTGTGTGTGTGTGTCTGTGTGTGTGTGTGTCTGTGTGTGTGTGTGGGTTAGGGGGCTTGAATCCTATTGGCTCTGTGTCTCTGGAGAATTCAGACTGATGCACAGCCCCATCTTAGAGACCCGCCCACCATCTCCCGCTTTCCTGCCTATCTTTCTTATGCCTGTTTCCCTTCTTTGCAGAAAAAAAAGCAGGTCATTAGATTTCACTACATTTTTAGTTTCATTCCAGTTTAGTCTGAGAGCTTTATAATTTGGTTTCAGGGTCAGTGTGCTTCTGGTTGGGCTTTTAGTGCAGCTGGTGCCCTCGAAGGACAGATGTTCCGGAAAACTGGCAAACTCGTGTCACTGAGTGAGCAGAACCTGCTGGACTGCTCTCGGTCTCAAGGCAACGAGGGCTGCCGTGGAGGCCTGATGGATTATGCCTTCCAGTATGTGAAGGACAACGGAGGCCTGGACTCGGAGGAATCCTATCCATACTGTGCACAGGTAAGTAGTGCGCCTTACCTGTGCTTCCAGCTCTGCTTTTTGGAGTTGAACACACTCAAAGAAAACAGATACCATATTTAATATTCACAGTTTAAACTGTAGACTCTATACTTGCAAACCGTCAGAACCATCATTAAACCATATTAGCCGGGCACAGTTCTCTCCTCGATGGTTACCATATAACTGTTCCTATTTCTATGTTATGTGGCCATATATATACCATTCTATATACAGTACAGATTTCTCCAGAATGAAAAAACTTCTTACGGACAGGTAGACTGAGAGTGTCTCATGAAATACACACCAGCTAATGTTTCGATTTCAAAACAACCCCTAGCATTTCAGCTCCTGGGATGCTTCATAACGAACTTGACTTGGGAATCATTTAGCTGCAAACTGTCTTGAACTCATGTTCCCCAGGACGTGGATGGTAGTGCTCAAGTCTCTTCCCCTTTCCCTTTGAAAGGACGGATCTTGCAAATACAAGCCTGGACAGTCTGTCGCCAATGACACTGGCTTCATGGACATCCGTCAGGATGAGGGGTCCCTTATGGTGGCAGTGGCAACTGTGGGGCCCATCTCTGCTGCGATCGTTGCTAGCCTGGATACCTTCCAGTTCTATCATAAGGGTAAGCATCTGTCTACATACAAATTTAGGCAGAAAAATGGGAAAACCACCATTACATACAGTAAGATTGACTCTGGTGTGTAGAAGTCAATGTAGAATTTTGGAGGGTGTAGATTTAACATAGTTGTCTTTTCTGCGCATGTCATTTTTGTGCCTGTTGTTTCCATCAGCCATGACTTGACCGGTGTCCCCGTGATTTTAAGTACATCATAAATATATTTAAATGGCTACATAATTCAACTGGTATGCCTTTATTTACTTTACTTCTTTCTAACTGTTACACCTTGAAACATTCCAAAGAATTTTACTACTGTTACTGAAACTGGAAAGAACCTCTTGGCTCAAGTAATTTTGTGTCCTGTGCTGTTTCCATAAGTTGACATGCTCAAAGTCGAATCACAAGGTGTCAATGAGTGCTCTTTTATGTTTCTTGACAAGTTGTTTACAGAAGAGATTGTACCAATTTGTCTTTCTGCTGATATTAGATGAGGGCCTAAATCCTTAGCCTAGCTAAAAAATAAAAATAAATAAAAATAAAAACTAATTTTTAAATCTTATCTGGGGTTATGTCATTTAACTGAATTTTGAAATGCCTCCCTGACTGTGGCTGATAGGCTGGGTTACTATCACATGTTCCCAGAGATCCTCACCCCAGCACTGAATTTCTCTTCTCCAGGCATTTATTATGATCCAAACTGCAGCAGCGAAGACCTGGATCATGGTATTCTGGTGGTTGGCTATGGCTTTCAAGGAGAAGAACCCGAGAACCAAAAATACTGGATTGTCAAGAACAGGTATAAAAAGCCAAGAATACTTATCTTTAAAGTTGAAAAGGGAATCCTTTTTGGAATCAGTGTTTGGAGGCAGGTCCCCCAACTCTTGAGCACACTTCTGAAATCCCAGCAGTGTTTACCCCACTTAGTTGGAACACAGATATATTCACATGATGACCACAGTAAGATACTATCTCAAGCTTGCTAGGGTCCTGCGATAGTTTTGGTACCATTGCATTTCTAAATTGGAAATGTTTTCCTATTTCAGAAACACATCTGACCCTAAGCATTTTATGGTCTCTCATTTGTAGTCTGTGAAAGGTCTGAGGGTAGAATTCTGTGCTGGGTTAAAACTCAAGCATGAACAGGAACGGCCTCTCCGGATTCTTCCGGAATCTGTCCTGGCCTCTGGTGCATTGCTCAGTATCAGGTGTAATTGTTCATACGGATAAATGTGTTTATTCCTCTGATAAATGTCAAATGCTGTCTTCTTCCAGCTGGGGCACGGACTGGGGCATGCAGGGCTACATACTGATGGCCAAAGACCGGGACAACCACTGTGGAATCGCCACCTCAGCCAGTTTTCCCATTGTGTGAGCTGAAGGTATAAAGAAGACCTTGACTGGGGACAGAATATGCAGAAGAGGAATTTTATCTTACAACTGATCATACTTTATTGTGTGGGATAAAACACTCGAACCACTGGAGATCCAACTTGTGATCTGATTCTGTGACTTCTTTAATTGCTGCTTTGAACAGCTTTGTGTGATTGACTTGTCCAAGAACTTTTGAATTTTTATATCTTATACTGATGTATAAAGTTTTAAAATAAAACCGTTTCAAAGTAGAAGTGGGGGAAGTTTTTAATATATTAACTTCTTATAGAATCAGGCGTTAAATAATAAGAAACCAAGTAAATTACAAAGATCTAATTGGTTTAACAAAGGATTCATGAATCAGGCAGCTTCCCATTTATCTAGCAAGTAGAGGAGAACTCCAAGACCTACGGAAAAAGAAAGGTTTGTAAAGGTAGGGAGAGGGAGCGGAGAAAGGGAAATTATTAGCAAAGAATCTGTTGTTTGAGGCAAGGTCGCTTTCCTTAGGAGGACAGAAAGGGCCTGTCAGTACATGGCCTGGTGCTGACCAGGACATTCCCATTATCACCAGGTACAGGTCAGATTTCAGCTGGGAGGAGGTTGAAACTGCGGTTAGCTTAGGTATTAGGTCTTGGTTTACTGACTTGGGACCTTTACCTAAGTGATGCCATGTGGGGCCTGTGGTTTTATTTTTGACAGGGCTCTAAAGACATAACCGAATGTGCCAGTGGTCCATTGGGAGCAGACTGGATGGCCTCTGGTCCTTGTAGTTACGAACATGCGCATCTTAGGTCAGCTGCCCTCTGGTTCTGTCTGACCCAACCCTGGAATGAAGCAAAATGGGACCAACGATCTACAGGGACAAAGGTACATTATCTTAACAAGGAAAAGACTTCACATTTTCGAAAAGTGAACATGCATACATAGGATTTCAATAATAGAGATACACATTAGAGATCATGGTCATTTGACCCCAGATGGCTACAACCCAGTGGAGCTGCAGGACGGATGTCCCAGAGCCAGTTTCGGGTGCATCTTCCTCACCTGCCAGTGAGGGCCACGTGGCTACTTTGCAGATGAGAAAGGACCAGACACAGTGGACTGGTGTGTCTTGGGCCCAAAAAAGGATGAAGGGTAAGCCCCCAGACATGAGTCCAGGCTTCAAAAACAGAACTGGGGCCTGAGAGGTAGCAGACAGGTGAGGGCATCCAGAGTGCCCAGCTCTTCGGTCAAACACCTTTCTGGAACTTGCTGTGAAGTTCCTGCGTAGAAGTGATTAACAATTACAATCAATGGACTTCGTTTAAATAAAGATTTCTTTCAATAATGTGGGTGGGCATATTTGCAACGACGTAGATGGAACTGGAGGGTATTATGCTGAGCAAAATAAGTCAATCAGAGAAAGACATGTATCATATGACCTCAC